TATATGTGTAAACACACCTTTTCCAACAGGTATATTTGAGTATAATTCAAAATATGAACTGGTATAATATTCAAACCATTTTTGAACTTGAAACAAAGCCATTTTTCAAAATACGTTCAGTGTTAATCGGTTAACACTGGAACGTTATACCAGATTATTCAAAATTTGAAATGGTTAACCAGTTAACCTATATGGTTAATCGGTTAACACTGCTATTTTTCAGAAAAATACTTATAAAAATAGTGTTATACCAATTCTAATAGTTTAAAAAATATGCTTAAGCAATGTGATCAAATGATAAAGATGTTGAACACTTGTATATCAATTAAATTAATGGATTTTGATATACCATAGCTTGTGTCCAAAACTTGAAAGTTGATCAGTCAAATGTTCATGAAGCTTTGAATGTTGATCACTTCCATTCCACTTGATCTTGGTCTTTTGAAAGCGTTTGCCTTTTTTCACAGATGAAATATTCTTGATCTTGATGTTGACGTTATCAAAACTTTGAGATGAAGCTTGCTTCTACATGTGATGGGGTCACATGACAACTAACCTCGTTGAATCAATGAATTCTATTTTCAAGGGAATCTGAAACCTATCGATAACTGCCTTGGTAAAGGAAACATATTTTAGGCTCGGGGCACTCTTTGATAACAGACGTACAAAGTGGAATTCAATATTACAATCTGGGCAGCTGTACAGTAATAGTTCGATGAAATTCATGAAAGACGAAGATGCCAAAGCCAACACACATGTGGTCACAATCTTTGACCATAATAAAAGGTTGGTGTGACTGTGGAAAGTTTCAGGCATTTCGTATGCCTTGCTCCTATGTTATAGCAGCATGTTCGAAGGCTTTCCAGGACCCAACCAACTATCTTTCTGTTGTTCGCCAAAATGGTCAGATTATGTAGTTCGTGCCAGCAACCAGGACACAATCGTACAAAATATCCCAATGTAGGATCAAGCACATGATCATAGTTTCTAATGTAACCGTGGCTATTTAAATCAACAACAAATTTCATTCCATTGATAGCATACCTAAGCGATTACAATTAACAGCAACATAAATTAAACAAACATAACTTAACATCAAAATAACAATGCAAAAATAGCAACAATATAACTTAATATCAAAATAACAATCCGAAAATAATAATAATAAACCCATATAAAACAACTCAATGCATCAACTTGTCTAGGATATTACAACCATCAAGGTAATCGTCTTTGGTGTTAACATCATCATAAAGACACCAGCATCATTTTCCACTTTTCTCTAATCACGAGTAACTCCGTTTCTCCCTGACTTCTCAACTAGCCTCTCAATTTTCTCGATCTTTTCACCTACAACAATATCTCTTTCTAGCCATCAGTTCAGTTTCCTATGCAAATGCTCCAAAGTCTGCGTGTTCCACAGTAGGACCTTCATCGGAGGCTTTGTTGTTGAAAAATAAACTAGGGCATTTCTTTTCATTAGAGGAAATGTTGGAAGTGGTTCATATGATGATGATGATGATGACGATGACGATGAACGTTGATTTAGAAATGCAGACATTATGGACTGATTTGAAAATTATGAAAAGTTGAGGCTATTGATGATAATTGTTGTGAAATAACAAATGAGTATGCAGTCTTATTTATAGAAAAATGAAATAGTATGGTCCTCATATGATATGGCGTAACTACCCTTAAAAACACATGATAAAAAAAAACACAAAACAAATTATTTATAAAAAAAGGCATTGTACTGAGGCGTCATACCATATGGCGCCTCCTCTGGAAATTAGGGTTTAGGGCAAAAGGGTGGCGCCATACCATATGGCAACTTGGTTTTAGGGCATAAGGGAGGCGTCATATGGGATGGCGACTTGGTCTTTCCCTTCACCCATCATCCATTTCATATGGCGCCTCAATGTTGAATTATGGCCACTTTGGGATTTTTTTTTTTTTGAATTCCCTGTTAAAATGGTATTTTTTTTGAAAAAAGTTGTTATTGGAAAAAAAATTCCCATTTTATCCTTTTGGTTCTATAGATGTATGACATGTGTAAGAAAAATTAATGGTTCAGATCAATAATTAAAAATAATAATTTAATTAGTAATAAAAAAACACGTAAAAAGGATAAAATTGTTAGATATTTCTTTCTGTCTTTTGAAATATAACCTTTTGCCTTCTAGAATACACATCTTTCCCTCATCCTTCACAATTATTGCTCGCGATTGTTACTATCTCCAACAGTCAAGTGTCGATCACTCTCTTCCATCCACTGCTGCTCGGTGTCGTTCAAAAATCGTCGTTCACCGCCGTATCACTCTTGTTGTCACCTATTTTGTCGCTTTTCGTCATATCACTACTGTTGTCACGTATAATTTTGCCATCACAAACCTACTCTACTTCGCCGCTACTATTTTTGTTAAGGTATTATTGTTTTCAAAATTAAAACTTTTTTTCTTAATCGTATCCATTGTTCTTGACTATGAATAAGTAAAAAAATTTCATTTGAACTTTACTGTTACATTAATTTTATACATATTGTTACATTATATTTTGTGTCAACGAAGAATACATTTATACATATTGTTACATTACCTTCTTCGTAGGCCTAAAAGAGATCATGAATACATGTTTTCTTATTTAGGCCTAAAAGCATGGCCCATAATATTTACTGGAAAGGGTTGGTTAGAGAAGTAGAGCATTATGTCTTTTGATTTTAGTTTCACTAACCTGTTATGAAAGTGGCATCTATTTTTTCTTGAGTATGGCTACTAGTTGTTACTTACTGTGATAATATACATTGTCGGTATGTGATTTTACATTTGTTGAATATCATTTGGTGAAATAATATTCTAATAATAATTTCATGAATGATTTTCATTTTTCTTTGGCCACTGACCATGTGTGAAAGATACTTTGAGCAATGGTTTAGTTATATATATATATATATATATATATATATATATATATATATATATATATATATATATATATATATATATATATATATATATATATATATATATATATATATATATATATATATATATATATATATATATATATATATATATTGTTACACTAATTTTATTCTTCATTTGAATTCTACTGTTACATTGGTTATATATATATATATATATATATATATATATATATATATATATATATATATATATATATATATATATATATATATATATATATATATATATATATATATATATATATATATATATATATATATATATATATATATATATATATATATATATATATATATATATATATATATATATATATATATATATATATATATATATATATATATAATTACATTAGTTTTTTAATGAAATTTTCAATGAAAGGTCATTTTTCAATAATAATAATAATAATATATTATTGTTATTGTTCTGGACTGGACCGACGATTACACCACCACCAAGCAGGCCCAAGCCCAGTGAGGTTGGGCCTAAGAATATCACGCTGACGGGCAGGATCCCTGTCGCGCACAACATCTCCCCGTCGGGCATAGACCAACAGCCGTCGGGCAGGACCCTCGCATCCGACCAGTCAGCCTCCTTCTTCCCCATCGTTGGGCACGACCCTCACGTCCGACCATCCACTTTTGGTTGCCCGGGGAACTCCTCGGGCCTTCCCCCATGTTCTTCACGTGTCCCTCACGCAGGGAAACGTCATAACATAATTATCCAGATATTGCATAACAGTTATCCTAGGGCGAAGACCATGTCCTGGTCTTCATGACACCACGTCAGCCCTAGCAGTTACTAGCATTGGGCCTGGCAGCCCAGCCCTACACTGGGGGCTCTATAAATACCCTCTTCACTAGAGGATCAGGTAACTTAACTTTCTTACTCTCTCTTTGTGCTTGCTTCCACTATGTCCGTCACTTACTTTGGCATCAGAGTGTGTTTCAGGTACACCCCCTCCTCCTCCATATCTTCAGTGAGCAGCTAGCAGATCAACGACGCGTGGCAGCTCATTGACTCCCTTCTGGTCAGGTACGATCAGTTATTAATTCAGAAAAGATGAGTTTTTCAATAATTTTGATAGTCGACTGTGTAGAAAATTTGGTGAGTAATATCCATGAACAACATGTGCAACACGGGCAAGAGAGTGTTGTCAATAGTGAACCACACTTGGAAATAAAGTTTTAATCGGAGGCGGCGGCTTATGATTTTTATAATGAGTACAACAAAAGAATTGTATTTGGTATTCGTCGAGAATATGCAAATAAAAGTAAAAAAGATGGAGTTTTGACTTCAAGAAGATTCACATGCTTCAAAGAAGGTGTACGTGGTGTTGACAAGAGATATCAAACGACAGGGAAACGCACTAGAGCAGAAACTAGAACAGGATGTCAAATGCGTATGGTTATTTCACTTGATAGGGAAGATAGAGAAATATAAAGTTGTTGACTTTGTAGCACAACATAAACACCATCTTTAGCCGCTAGAGTATGTTCATATGATTCGCTCTCATCAGTGCATATCTGAAGAACAAGTATCACAAATTATATTGGGAGATGAATTTGGATTAAGACCAAAAGATTTACATGAATATATATATATATCAAACCAAGCTAGTGGGATCGAGACAGTTGGTTTTACAAGACGAGACCTTAGGAATTATCTTCGAACCAAAAGGATGCAATCACTAAAGTATGGTGAAGTGGGTATATTGATGATGTATTTCAAACAAGAAAGTGAAAATACATCATTTTTCTATGAATTTCAAATGGATGTTGAAGAGCAAATAACAAATATATTCTGGGCAAACGCACTAATGATAAGTGATTATAGGTACTTTGGTGATGTTATCACTTTTGACACCACATACAAGACAAATAAGGATTATCGGCCGTTGGGAGTTTTTGTTGGACTTATAATAATCATAAGCAAACTATCATTTTTGGGGCATCTTTATGATATGATGAAACAATCCCTTCTTTTCAGTGGTTATTTGAAACCTTTCTTAAGGCAATGGATGGAAAGAAGCCTAAAACAATTCTAACAGATCAAGATGCTGCAATGGCTAAGGCTATTTCTTTAGTTATGTCGAAAACATTTCATGGATTATGCACTTGGCATATAAGACAAAATGCTTTAAGACATGTAAACCATTTATATCAAAAAAGTCCACAATTCTCTTTGGATTTTGAGGCATGCATAGACTTACACGAAGAAGAAGGAGAATTTTTTAAAGCATGGAATTCTTTACTTATTGAGCATAATGTTTCGGAAGGATCGTGGATGCATATGATTTTTCAATTGAAGGAAAAATGGGCATGAACTTATGTTCGTAAAACATTCACTGCAAGCATGAGATCTACTCAATTAAGTGAAAGCTTTAATGCTGATTTGAAAAACCATTTGAAGTCGGGTTTAAATTTGGTATAGTTTTTTACACACTTTAAAAGGGCTGTCAATGGTAAACGGAACAATGAGGTCGAAGCAGAATATGAGTCCAGACATAAACTACCTAGGTTGAAAATGAAAAAGGCTTGTATGCTCGTGCAAGCGGGAAATATTTACACTCCAATTTTTTTTTAGGAATATCAAGACACTTGCATAAAGGAGTTGAAAGAAGGTATGTATGTTGTTACAAATTATGGCAATGTAAAGGAGAGGATAGTAATGGGATATCTTATGGAACATAGAGTTTCTTGAGATTGTCGTAAATTTGAGACACACGACATCTTATGCAATCATGCTTTGAAAGTTTTAGATGTCATGAATATTAAGTTAATACTGGAACACTGTATACTAAAGCGATGGACAAAAGATGCAAAGTTGGGCAATAATCAAGATTGGAAAGAAAAACATGTTGAATTAGACATGAAAGCTCATTTCACGAAGTGGTACAATGAGTTATGTCCTCGAATGATTAAATTGACCAATATAGCTTCCAAGTCTCACGAAACTTACACATTTTTGTCCAAAGTTGATGAAGAATCCAACAAAATAGTTGACGACATCTTGGCCAAAAAGTATGTGGATATAGAATCAAGTGGAATTGTTCATGTATCTATTTCAATTGGAAATAAGGAAATTGACAACAAGGAGGATACTGATTGCGGGGAAAATGGCATAAAGAAGTGAGATTATTCACGTAATAACAAAAAACTTGATAAATCTTGGGTTGAGAAATTGGCTAGAAAGACAAAGAGATATTCACACATAAAAAAAAAAGAGAAAATTGCAAGAAAATTTAGTGCAATCGTCACAGGTAAATTTATCATCAATTTTTAAAATTTAATAACGATATTATTTATTTATTTATTTATTTATATTATGCAGCAATCAAGTCAAGTTGGAAAAGCAAGATTTCCCGATCTAGTTGACACAACGAAACTTCATAGTCAAGTTGATACAACAGGATTTCAATATCAAGCTTCGAGTCAAGTTGACAGCCAAGTTAATATAACAGGATTTCAACATCAAGCATCAAGTCAAGTTGACACACCGAGACTTCAACATCAAATTTTAAATCAAATCGACATGACGAGATTTCAACAACAAACTTTATGTCAAGTGGACACATTAGAGCTTCACAATTTCTTTTAAACATATCATCGAAGTTATTAAACATGTTTTATTCTTTGTTATTTTTCCTGCTATATGAAAATGTGTTGCATGAATTTTTGTAACCTGATATGCTACTTCTGTTTTGGTTATTTTTATCACCTTTAATTAGCTACAATGGAAAATTACAGGCTTTATGTTATAATGGAAAATTATGTTACAAGCTTATGTTATAAGAATTATGTTATGGCTACAATAGAAATTTACAGTTTGTAACAATATCTTCTATAGCTACAATGGAAAATTATAGCTACAATGGAAAATTACAGGCGCATTATGTTATGGCTACAACAGAAATTTACAACTTGTAGCAATATCTTCTATGGTCCTAACTAAGATGCGAGAGATTGCAGAAGACTTAATGCAATGAATGCTTTGGATGATTATGTTTACAAGATAAACAATGCTTTGAAGGATATTGATAGAAGTTCTAAGCTTAGAAGACAAGATGATTTCATGATTAATTTGGAAATTTCAAAGGCTAAAGATATACTTGATGCACTCCAACAGAAGGAGACATAACTGTTCCAAGATTGTTTGAATAAGTTAAAGAGTGTTGTGACACCTCTCTTCCAGATTGACTAGATTAGTTATTATGTATTTTATATGTTTAGTGTTTGCAAAAGTAATGAACCATATCACCTAAGTGTAGTCTGATGTTAGGTTATAGCAGTGACAAAAAATATAAACAGAGCCAACAGTAACACATAATTTACAGAATCAGCAGCCACACTAATTTTTTGTTTTGTATTAATCTGCAATTTGATTACAACCAAATAATTTTCAGTGGTTCAGAAGTTATAAATTCTTAAAATTGAACGAAAACCTAAAATTACAACAATTCTAAAACTACACCAATCTTCAATCTCATGTCTAAAATTGATTCCAAAAATCCTATAATTGAACACTAAAATTACATCATAAGGGTAATTACAATCAAATCATCTCCAATTCTCAACAATAATCTTCAATTCAAACTTCAAATTGTTGCACAACTGAACAAAATCATGATAAGGTAGCGGCAAGTGAGAAAGATGTAGTGGTGGCGTCACTGATTAAAGTACAGTACGGTGGCGGCGAGACGAGAAAGTGGCGGCGACTGAGAAAGATACGATGGCGGAAAGAAAGATATAGTGATTAATTCAGAGATGATGTCAGCACCGAAAATCAACAACTATGATGACGAGGAAGCAATATTAAAAGAGAGGATATGGCTGAAGAGAAAAAAATTTCACGAAACATTTAGAAATGAGTGGAATTGTGTCTTCTAAAAATAAAAAATATGCATACTCAACCTTTTAAATCAGAACCGTCAATTTTTTTATGCCACGTGTCAGACATCAATTGCATGAACTGGAAACTGGAGTAACTAGGAACTGGAGTGGATCTGAACTCTCATATTACATGCACTCATATTATACCGGATCACACATTTAGTGTATTTCTAGTTATTATATTGAGATTGGATGATTTAAATTTTCAATTTTATATATATATATATATATATATATATATATATATATATATATATATATATATATATATATATATATATATATATATATATATATATATATATATATATATATATATATATATATATATATATATAATTGAAAGTTATATTAAATATTAATAGTTTGATTTCGATGAAACAATTGTAATTAAACCGAATGTAAAATGTCCAATTTGTTTAATTTTATGAGATTTGATTTGATTTTATGAAAGTAAAAGAAAAAATAGTACTATGAAATGACATAAATATTATCATATATGAGCCTAAATTATAGTTTTTTCTATTGAAACAAAATTGGTTTGTACTATATCTTTATGGTTTTGATGATAACAAATTATTTAAAGAACAATATGGTATACTAACAAATGTTCAAGTGTGTAGACCATAAACTAAAATTTATGAAGAGAACTTAGTACTAGTACTAAGAATGGACATTTAAAGAGAAGCTAAAGATCCAGATTTTGAAAGATTGAAAGCTGAAGACCAAACTCTAAAGACTCCAACTTTGAATGAAGTCAATCTCTGAAGATTTAGTCAATGCAAGGATCGAGGAGATTCTTATAGCTCACTATCAGACTCTGAGGACATTTTGTCTTCTTCTAATCACGTGACAAATTAAGCAAAAACCTGCAGAAGACAATTGAGATTCAACGTATAATTCCTTTTGTAAGAAAGGGTTTTCAAATGAGCTTTCAACAGTATTAACCATATTAAGAAAGATCGTAACGTCTCTGAATCAAGCTTCTCAAACACTCTCTTGTGAAAATTCGCCAATGACTCTTTTTCTTCTCAATATAAGGAGTTGAAGACTTGAAGAATAACAACGAACCATTGATAATAAAAGAGTTGTTACTCTATCAAACAGAAAGAAGAAGTTTAACTTATAATTTTTTAAAAATTGTACATCTTATAAATTCTTATATCTTAAAGAGATTTTTTGTGTTGTATTTTGTCTACACCTCTAATTATATATGAAGTATAGTTTTTCATAATCCCTTAACTGTAAGTTAAAGTTTAAGAAGTCTATTGCTTATGTTCTTGAGCATTAAAAGTCTCTTACTTGTGTGTTTGGGCATTAGAAGTCTCTTACTTTGTGCTTGAACAATTGAAATTAGTTTTGATTATAGTGAAATCCCTTCGAAGTGCAAGGGGAGTGGATTACTCTCTACTTGTGGGAGGAACCAAGATAATTGTTTGTGTCTAATTCTTTCCTTTCTACCTCTGAGCTATTTTAGTTCGCTGCTAAACACTTGAATCTAATTGACATTCTAGACTTTGTGTCTAGAAAATGATAAATGATTTTTTAGAAGTAAAAAAAAGAAAAAGCTAACACAATTCAACTCCCCTTTCTCGTGTTTTTTCTCACATTCAGTTGGAATTAGAGCACAGTTTATGGTTTTAACACTTAACCATGGTACATAAAAGATCCTGAGAGAAAACTATGGTTGAGGCACCTATTCCACACGTTGTAGTTAATCATGATTATAGTGCTTTTGAAAAGAATAACTATACAGCTAGACCTCCAACATTCAATGGAGATTCTACAGAGTTCGAATGGTGGAAAGTTATGATGTACACTCACATCATAGGTCTTGATGATGAGTTGTGGGACATTCTTGAAGATGGCATTAATATTCTAGGTAATGGAGTAGAAATGGTAGCTAATAGAAAAAGTCTTACACCTGCTCAAAAGAAGACTTATAAGAAACATCAGTGTTAGAGGCATTTTGGTAGATGATCTACCTCACTCTGAGTACATCAAGATTATTGGCAAATCTACTTCTAAAGCCATATTTGAATCCTTATGTGGTGCATATGAAGGAAATAAGCAAGTAAAAGAGGCAAAGGCTAACCTCTTGGCCAACAATATGAATTGTTCAGAATGAAAGAAGATGAAGATATTGAAACTATGTTTTCAATGTTTCAAGTTTTGGTATTTGTTCTTAAAATTCTGAACAAAAGCTATACAACTTCTGATCTTGTCAACAAGATTCTTAAGAGTATTCCTGTTAGATGTAGACCAAAGGTGACAGTCATTTAAGAAGCCAAAAACTTAAAGACTATAAGTCATGAAATCCTAATAAGTAATCTCCAAAGTCATGAGATGGAGCTCAATAGAGATGAGCCTGCTAAGAAATCAATGTCTCTTGCTTTGAAATTTGTTAGTAAATCTTCCAAATGTCCTCATGTA